AAAAATAAAAGGAATATATCAGAGAATGAAAAAGGGCCAGAAATATCCAAGGCATCTGTTGAATTTACCAAAACACTAGATGAAGCAAAACTAGAATGGCTACAGACCTATTTAGTTATGATTTGAGAAACAGATGATTGGAGAAAGAACAGTTATATCAGCCTAGAAAAACAAAATGTTTCAATTGAACAACAGCTACTCAATGGACATTATTAACTTACAAGGAGAACATCGCTACATGAAACTTGTGTAATATTTAGTACTAACATTTATTTGGTAGTTAAACACATGCTGTTTATCCCTCTAAGATATTTCTCTGATGTCAAAATTTCTATTTTTCTTAAACTAAAATACAGACTATTTGATGAACAGAGTGAAGGTTTAAAGCTTTTTATCAGTGACATCATTGTATTATCATGAAACGTTTCATCTTAATGCAATGAAGTCACTGCTACACAAGTTGTCTAGCCACTCAGAGAAAATTACTTTCCATATGAAAAAAACATCCATATTATAATTAGTAACTTTAGAGAGATGGTGATGGGCAAATTCCAGATGATTCAGATGATATGCATATTCTCAGTTATGATTCACTGCACCAAGCTATCACCAGCAGCATGGAGGAAGTGTTATGATTTTAGAAGGCAGTCATTTCAATGACAAATCTAATGTAAAAGTTGTCAATCAGAAGTATAATAGCAGTGCTTATCGAACAACATTCAAGCACATGTTTCTCCCATGAATCAAGCATCAGTTTGGCTACAAAAAATGAATAAGGCAACAGGATAATGTATCAACACACAAAGCGTAATGGGTCATCTAGCCAACAATATGAATGTTCTGAAATGACCCGAAAGAAAAGTTCAGATCCAAGTATTGTAGAAATTATTTGGCATCTTTTAGAATGCAGATATGCCAAGATCAACAACGACCATGAAGACCTGATTAATCAGTCAGGTATTCAGGTACTAATTTCAAGTTATAATCATGGACATATGCAAGTCTATACCAAAACAACTTCTTGAGATAGTTAAGTAGAAAGATTAGATACAGTAAAAAAAACTATACCAACATTTCAGTCATTTGCACATTGTGTGATTGATTTTTTAGTGGTAAATATTATTTACACTAAAATCTTAAGTTTAATAAAAACTTGTAATAGTCTCATATCTGCACAGTGTCGTTTCATACCATTATATTCCCAGATCTCTATGTTAGTTCTATGAGTTGCACATTACATGCCAGATCAAAATGCAAAATGAGGAAAAACATTTTGGCCAAATGTAATTTAAACAGGTAAGCTGCTGCTGTTTTTTTTTATATAAAATACCAAAAATCAAATACATACACATTTTTTTATTTACAAATTTCAATATATACAAAGGGTAAAGCATGCTATTTTACTCAGTTTGAATTGAAGTGTAATTTCAAATGGAACAAACTGTTGCATAAAAGTTTGTATTTTGTTGCTAAGCAATCATTTTACATTCTACTTCCAAAGTATCTCATTTTTTACTCAAAAATGCCAAAGAAATTTGATTATTTTTGGCAGTCAATGATAGAAACTCGGTTTGTCATCCTGTTGCATTTTAAAATAAGTGTATAATAATAGTATTGTAATTTCTCAAATCTATATGCAGCATTATTAATTTTAATGAGCTAAGATTTAAAAAAAAAAAAAAATGGGTTTTCATCATCCAGAAGGATGTCTTGTCAGAACTTCAGCAGTTAAGTAGGAAATTGATGATGTTAAAGAGTATGATATCCAAGCAACTTAAAATATCACAACTGATAAAACAAAGGATCATTAGAGAAGATTTGAATAAGAAGTTAAGCCTGGACTCCACATCACCTAAATCTGCAACAGAATTATAAAGCTGATAACCAAACTGACGAAACTTTCAGTTTTGGAACATTCAGTTGGACAGAAACAAGACCAAAAGCAGAGTTAAAAATTATTTAACTTTTCTGTCGTACTGCAACCAATAAAAACACACAGATTTGTGATGTGTAGCATTTTAATATTCATGTGTAATATTGTTTTAATGGTAGAAAGTATAGCAAAGAGAATGAGAATCAATTTAGAAGTATTTATTGAAGAAGTCAGAAAATACAGATGTCTATACAACAAAAAATACAAAAAATTTAAGGATGCATCATTAAAACACTATGAACAACAATTGGCATGAAATCTGGAAAGTTTGGTATACTGCACAGAGATCCTAAAGTGGAATCATTTAGTTAGAAAATGCTTTAAATAGGGAACAAAGCTGAGCAGAAATGGAAAGTGTACAGGGATTACAGAACTGATCAACGGGTGGTGCATTTCTGTGTAATGTTCATTTTGGTCAAGTTAAAATGTAAACATAATTGACAGCAAAAACTCTATATATACATATCTATTACTTATAACAAAAACTCTATTTTTCAGTTCTGTTTCTGAATTTGTTTTCAGGTAATGTGGTGTCCAGGCCTTAGTCAGAAAAAGATTTCTGCATACTCTTTCAGTCTCACAAGGTCAATCAAAAAATCAATTTTAAAATAAAATTAAAACTTAGTAAAATCAAACATCTCATCCTCTGTATTAGTATTGTTAGAAAATGTTATGATAAAATATTTGATTCTTTGACTAATGTTTGAGACAGTTTTATATATATATATATTGTTTTTCAAGACTCAGCCACTTGAAAGTCTGCCTATACCAAGATTCAGCATTAAGTCTCTTCCTGATTGTATTGATTATAGACAGATACAGGAGATTATAAAATATTGTTCAAAGATGACTTTTATATATCTATTGTTATTACAATAGATATAAAAGTAAAATTACAAATGAGAATTTAACTGTGGCAAAAAAGATGAAAGTTAAAAATTAATGCAAAACAATGCATGGACAATCTGCCAAGGAAGGAGTGCCTCTTTGAAGGACTTTCTACGAGAAACTGGCTCCCATATATATCTTAAACACATGAATAAAACCAGAGAGACTCCACAAGGCCAACCTATTGGTTGGGCACAAACATGTTACCAAGCAGGGCCTTTCAGAAAAAATGCGAGGCTCGGGACACTAGCAAAGGGATAATTGTACGTGGTCTTTATCAGGTGTGCTAGCACACGCTTGCTAGTGTTTTGCTCTTGCAAAGTTATAGTTTGCGGCAGCTCTTAGTATCATAAAACACTGTTAGCACAGAACTGACCAAACAGACCTCATTCTCTGCTTTTATGCCCTTTTTGCTGGGAGTGGGATTCAGAGATGGAGGAAGGGATAACTTTTTAGTGTGGGTGTGTGTAGTGATTGGCCAGAAGAACATCCCCTCCAGCCTGGGGTTGGTCAGGGTGATATACTTCTAGTCAATCAGGGACTGGCTCATATCTCTCAATCCTCTCTGACAACTCCTACAGAAATTTAGAATTTAATTTTATAAATGTTAAAATTTAGCAAATCACTTTGCCTTCTCCTATATTTTTGTCTAACATATTGAGTTGCCAAGTTGAGGCCCAATGAAGCTACCCCTCCTGTCCCCTCTCTGATTGGCACTGGTACCAACTAGCAGTGTTTGGTAGTAGTTGGTCTTAGTGTAAGTTGTTACCAATGTTTGGTGATGATCCACTTGGTTACTGGTGGGCACAAAAAAAAATACAAGTATATTTTTCAGATATAAAAGTTGAAGCCCTATAATAAATACAACAGTTTAAGTACTTAGATGCAGTTTTTCTCTTTACAAAGGATATAAGGCAGAGTCAAAGAAAACAAAAACAACACAAGTAATAATGAAACATTAGGCACAGCATATGATAAAAAACAAACCAACAAAATTAGTCTTCAAAACTATAGTAAGATTTGTACTGCTGTAAGAAGCAGAAATATAAATCATTTGAGAGACAGGAAAAAAATGATGAAGAGGACAGCAATGAAATTATTATTAAGAAAAACCTAAAAATAAGTAAATCAGAAAGAATATAAATAACCAGCACGAAAAAAACTCAGATATTATAATTATATGATGTGTAAATAACATGTCAATCTAATAAACAATTTATAAAAACAATGGAGAAACAAATTAGGTTGGCAAGAAAGTAAGAAATGACGTAACAGAAAAATATTGAAAGATGATAATAAAGACGAAAGAGAAAAAGGCGGACCTCTAAACATAAGTCAAATAGTAAATCGAAAGAATTAAAAAAGGTTTTTAGTTATTTCTACATCATCCAGTTTGATCGTTTTGATTTTAGCAGTAATAGTACTATTGCATATTCAATATATATCAGAACAAAAATAATACAGTAATAAATATAAAAACTAATAATACACAAACTTACAGGAAAAAAATTTACGTAAATATTTTAAGCCGGGAAAGCAGCACGCTCATTAAAATATTCTATTTAACAAAAATAAAGTCGCAACAAAGTCAATAATTTCATTTTTGATACAATCTAACATTAGAAAAAAACTCCCAAATGATTTTTAAAATTTCATACAAAACTTTTCTTTAAATGTGTTAAATATTAGCATTAATTAAACTTCTATACAAGTTTTTTTTATATATAATAAATTTATTACATTATTTACAATTATAAAACAATTATCTTGCAGATTATTTCCAAATTTCTCTAATAAATTTTTGGAAAAACTTCAAATCTAAAATTAAAAACAATATACAGGATTTAAAGACATTGTTACATATATTATGTAATTTTAAACTGTTATTCAATGTTAAAATAAGCATTTAATTGTTGGATAAGACAAGGCATTGAATAATTTAAGACGAAAAAAATTTGTATATTTTTGGAACTCTTCTAATTTGGAATCAAATGGGGGACATTAATTAATATTTTGATGAAAATGATATCGTACGCAATTTGTATCCATAAAGAACAAAATCGAATGAGAATTTGTTTATAAATGACTTCGACAACGAGTAATAAATAAATGGCGTTGAAATTAACCAATAATTATTTAAATATGAAATTTAAAAAGACAAAAATCGTCAATTTCATACCAGTAGCACATGCAGAAACACCAGTTGGCTTGTGTGCCGTCACAACATAATTGTACGACATTTTAATTGAAGACTGTTCTCAAAACAAATTACTATTACAATCGTGTTCAAATAATGACGAAATTTTTTGTTTTCGAACCTTCTTAGTAACCAACTTTACCGGGTTTTTTGATTCGCAGAGACACCATATTAACCAATGCTCGTAGCCCGATTGTTTAGAATCGTGTAAAATAAGTAACATATATATCCGCCAAAATCTAATTTAATACGAAATAATAATTTATTTATTATTTAAAAATATTTTTTATTTATTTTAAAAAATTATAATAATTAATATTTTTATAATTGAGACAAAATATAATTTTTGCTTTTAAGTGTATTTTTTTTTTCAATTGGACTGGACACTACGCGACCGAATTCACGATGGGCTTGAAACTCCCATCGTGGGTTCGGCCAGGTGGGCCGGAGGTGAGGAACGTGAATGAATCCAGAAAATGCCAGGATTCATTCACGGGTGGTCCTCCAGAACGGTGGAATGACTCCGTAACCACGCGATTATTTGGGCGGCTATCGCGAATGTACTGTATTTTTGAAAGTTAAATAAATATTTAATAATGCTGTAATCTTATAAATATTTTACTAAGTTTATATATTGTTAATATTATCTATAAATATAAATTATTTTTTCAAAAATTTTTACAAGAATTTCCTCAAGAAACAATGCCGCGACGTTTAGAAATTTGCAGTTGGAAAGATGCAGTAACTGATTTGTTGATGAAAACTAACAGCACATTATTAGCTAATGATTTTAATTTCCTTTTTTTTTACAATGGGATTAATTGCAGTAGAATCGCCTACATAAATAAGAAATGAAGCTTGTATTGTACCTTAAATATTGGACACAATCCTTTACCAACTGGCAATTTCATATAATAAATTTTAATGTTATTGTAATGAAGTTTAACTCTTTTCTTTATGTCTTGAATGAAAAATCTTGTGTGTAAATGTAAATATGTGAAAATAGGCTAGTTTCCAGACATTTATAGTAAGAATAAAATTATTCCTCAAATATTGATGTAAAATTTATTATTGATATCTATCTAGATAAATGTCGATATTCTGTTACTTTTCCTACTGTATATTTTTTTAGCTCAAACTGTTTGAACCCTTCAGTTATTTTTTTGGAAAATCTGTTAGTTTCTTGGAGTAAATATAATGTAACCTGTTTCTTAATATTACAACTGATACAACAACTTTTTTATTTGTTATTTTGGATTGTTTCTGTTCTGTGGTCACTAAAAGGACATTTTTTTTTCATGCCCATCGTGGGTTCGGCTAGGACCACAACGGAGCGACCGGGTGATGAGGGTCGAAGCCCGATATATCCGGGAGAGACCTCTCATGAAAAATTCCAGCGAAGTTGTTTACCCAGATTCGATCTCTAATTCCTAGTATATCGGCCGTATATGTTAATAAATAAAGAATATATAATACCAACAGACCTTTTCTATATGAAATTGCTTATAATCGTCACAAACATTTTTCGTCGCAAAGAAAGAAAAACAGGCGGCACCAGAAATTTTTGAAAAAAATACAGTCGACCTCCCTATAATACTGTTGATAATTCCGTTTTATATGAATTCCACGTTGTACGAGTCACTTAGATTTTACAAATGCATGAGCCNTTTTTCCCTCGGATATCCGCGGATACGGATACGGATACCCGGCACATCACTAGTTTTATTCCACTTTCTTTATGAATCATTCCAGAAAGGATTCAAAATTTGCTTTTATTTTTATAAAAGTCAACAAAACTTTTGTATTTTTTAGATTATCATTATTCTATTTATATATTTGAATCTGAAGATAAAGTAGATTAACTCCAACAAACATTTTATCTGCTCAGTGAATTTTGTTGGAGATTTTGGTGCAATTTAACTAATTACAAATTTTTCTTTTCTGTTACAGGTAAGATAATCACTTTGATTTAATATGTCAAAGAGGAAAATATGTTTGCCAGTAGTCCAGACAAAATAGGACAAAAGTTTTTCACACAGTTACATTAGAGGAGACAAAAATTATGGATTTGCTGAAGAGATCTCAATGTGAAAGATGGAATCTTGTTATTAATTCAATTGAATTTGAATCAAAATATTAAGTTGGAGAAAATGATTGCAAAAGTAGGTACGATATTCACATGGATGGAGAATTTGGATATTATGAGATTTGAATCCAGACTGGAGCTACTGAAGAAGTTCATGCAGGAGAAGGATTTGGCTTCAATTGCAGAATGAATTAATTTGCAATGATGAATATCTCAAAAATTAGTTTAAGTATGGAGTGTTACAAATGTTTTATAAGATGTAATAACAGAGTTATTTTGGGTTTTCCTGAGTCAGATCAGGAAGATCCATATTAAGGATACCGTGTTAAACTTATTTCATGATAAGTTGAATGTTGATAATGTTTCCCTACAAAATATTACAGATTAGGATACTGTAAAACTGGAAGAAAAAGATCAATTTTTTTGTAATTTTTTGAATTATAGTGATAAATGTAAGATCAAAAATGTCATTTAAGTTGAAAGGTTCTGATATAATGGATGACCTACCTCCTTTGACTAGGGAAGTTAGGAAAATAATGAGGGCTTTGCTAAAGAAGAAAAAGAAAAAGGAGCACAGATTAAATTTATAATATATCCTCAAAGAGGATGGAAATGCAAGGTGATCATGATCTAGTTCTGATGTTTTGATAATGTCATGAAATTATAAAATAATTCTGAATAAATCTTATTTATTTTGTCAATTTTTGTCTTTTTCTTGAAGTTGTCTTTCTCTTGAAAACTTGGTGGAATGGTAATGCCATTATAGAGTTCTGCAATCATGAAAATTTTGTGATCATTCAGAAAACTGGTTTTTGCAAGACTAATAGAAGACGTTATATAGGAGGTTGAATGCTCTTGTTAAGTGAATTGTTATAAGTTTTGGTACAGAACAGGTTTTATTTGATCAAAATTATGTTACATAATAGCTTGGTTGTTTTTGTATTTTGTATCTAAGACCTGTTATTTGGGAAGATATTTGGAACGAGATTGTTATGATATTCTAAGTAATAACATTGATATGGGTGACTTTAACAAGCATACAGGAATGCACCCACAGGATTGGGTCCTGGAAATTTTGGGTGAGTGGGATTGACGTTGGTTATCAAGAATATCACAGAATCTAATAGTAAATCAGCAAGGAAAGTCAGTTTTAAGCTTTTATGAGAATTTTGGCTATCTGATTATGAATGATAGAGGCCCATTTGCTTCTAAAGGCTGTTATTCTTATGTGAGTTCATTAGGTAGTTCATTTATTGATTTGGATCTAATTAGATTAGGTCTTATACTTCTAGTTTCAGGTTCTGCACTTCTGGATGAAGTATTTAGTAGTAATTCTCTGATTAGGTTGAATTTAAACTGTAATTTGAAAGAGAAATTAGTTAAGAAAGTGGTTAGGAAAAGTTATGTCAAGATCAGTTGATTCCAGGTTATTTTGGAAGAGTAATTGCAGTCTGGTGGTAAATCAAAAATATAATGAGTTAATATAGATAATTCAGAGCCATTTAGAGTTGACTGCTGGTTTGTCAGTTCAGCTGATAAGAGATTTTTGCTGATTGGAATAAAAAACCTAAAGAATTTGATAAATTTTCTTGGTTTGGCCTGGACTGTAGAATGAATATTTTAAGAAGGAATCAAGAATTGAATGTAATGAGACAGGCAAAATTTGGAGATTGGTTTGAAGGAGATAACTTTGTCAAGGAGAAGAATATTGCTTGTAATCTATGCAGAGCAAAGAAGAAATTATTTTTGCAGAGACTGAATAAAGACTTGTTTTGGAGATAATTAAAACATTTCTAAAATTTCACACTTTTTTAGGGCCAAGCATGTATGCCTGCCAGATCTAGATTGTAAATTTTGTAAAAATACATGGCTCAGAGTGTTATAAGGCCAAATCTTTTCTTATGTAATTTGTGTTATAATTGGCAAGATAATGTTTTGGTTATTGAGATTATCTCTTTGTAAGTAGAGTCAGCTGTTTCATCAATGAATGACAGTACTACTCCAGGAATGGATGGTATTTCTGTAGAATTTTATAAAAATTGTTCTAGACTATTTAATTATTTAGCTTCTTCATTTAACAATATCTACAAATCAGAAGATATTCCACCAGATTAGTGTGTAAGTTATTCTAATATATAAAAAATGGTTCTAGGAATCGTACAGATCAGAGGTTGCCAAGCTTTCTGACAACTAAACTCAAAATTTTCAATCCCACAGACCACTGCCATGAATTTTTTTTAAACGATACAAACATCTATAGAATAATGATCATAAAAGTTCCATTTTATTTTATTAATATGAAATTTCCTTGTTTAATTATAACAAATTAGTGTGGAGTTTGTTGCTGCTTGTTTGAAATAAGTTTTTGGATTCTTGGCTCCTTTCCACAAAGAATGACAATTGCACTCACATTACTTATTGATTTATTGACAACAGTCATTTCAAGTCTGGTTTAAGATTTGAATAAAAACCTCCAACAAATGAGAAAAAACAACCAAGCATTTTGCATTTCTTTTGTAATATTTTGCATCATTTTGAGTTGATCAATTTCCAAATTTCTCCATAACCCACCAATTTCCAAATTCTCCAAAAACCCACCATCAGTGGTCCATGGACCACAGGTTGCCAACCACTGGTCCAGAGAATTAGAGGTATTTCATTATTACCAACTATTTCTAAAATATTATGTATAGATGATTAGTTATGTGGCTGGATAATTACGGGATTTTTTCACATTGGTTTTCACTCTGGTTTCTCTCTCTACCTTGGATATTTTTTTAATGTATACTTGCATTCAAAAAAATTTAAGAAGAAAATGTGGGAAACTTTTTACTTTTTTTGTAGATTTACAATTGGCATTTGATTCTCTGGGTATAAACATTTTATGGCAACATTTATGGAGAATGATCTAAGTTGTAGGTTTGTTACTTGTCTAATCCAATTATATACTAATTTGAAGACTTGCTATACTTTTAATGGAAAGAATACAAATCTATTTGTTATGCATAAAGGGATGTGTATGGAAAGAATACAAATCTATTTGTTATGCAGGGATGTGTATTAAGCCTAATTTTATTTAATTTGTATATTAACACCTTTGTTAAGGAATTGTGT